CTGTCTTTGCCACCCAATTTATGGCTGTTTGTTACGGTAGCCCTAGCAAACTAATACAATCAGTGTGCATTCATGTATCTTTATTTTATACCTTGAGTTATAATCCAATACTATATAATCTATTTCGTTGCTCAAATTGTTTCAGCCTCCGTCATTGAGAGCTCTTTCATGTGCGTTCCCTCAATCCCTTATGAAATGTGCCGATCCTTTTGTTTTTGTGGGCACTTTTTTAGTTTCTTTCTTTCTTTTTCTTTTTTTAAACAGTCTTGCTCAGTCCCCGAGGCTGGAGTGCAGTGGTACGATCTATTCGTTCAACCTGAATTTCTAGAAAAACAAAACTCTATGTGTCCATGCCCCCAAACTGAGGATTTAGAAGTAAAAAAAGGCATGCCCACTGTCTTCTTTCTTTCTTTTTTTTTTTTGAGACAGAGCCTCACTCTGTGGCTACCTGGGCTGGAGTGCAATGGTGAGATCTCGGCTCACTGCAACCTCTGCCTCCTGGGTTCAAGCAATTCTCCTGCCTCAGCCTCCCAAGTAGCTGGGATTACAGGTGCCCACCACCATTCCCGGGTAATTTTTGTATTTTTTGTAGCTTTTTCACAATTCCTGAAATATTTCAAACTTTCTTCTTCTTCTTATATGTGGTTTGGTGATCTAGGATCAGTGATTTTTAATGTTACTATTGTAACTGTCTTAGGGCATCATGAAACACACCCAAATGCGAGAGCAAACTTAACTGATAAATTCTGTGTGTTCTGACTACTCCACTGACCAGCCATTCTCCCCTCTCTCCTGCTCTCCTCTGGCCTTCCTATACTCTGAGACATAATGATATTGGAATTAGGGGCCAGGCTCAATGGTTCACTCCTGTAACCCGAACACTTTGGGAGGCCAAGGCGGGAGGATTGCTTAAGCCTAGACGTTCAAGACCAGCCCGGGCAACATAGCAAGACCCTGTCTCTAAAAAAAAAAAAAAAAATTGGCCGCTGTGTCCATGTTGGCAAGGCTGGTCTTGAGCTCCTGACCTCAAGTGATCTGCCCATCTCAGCATTCCAAAGTGTTCTGGTTACAGGCATCAAGCACCTTGCTCATCTTCTCCCTGCTTGCAAGATCACAGTTCAGTAGGGGATATAACAATAGCTTACTTTTTTTTTTTTTTGAGACAGAGTCAAAAAAGACAGCCACCATGCCTGGCTGCTTACATTTAAAAATATAAATCTATATGCCAAGTGCAATATATGTTACCTTTTTTTGAAGTCCAGGACAGTGTCAATGTGTGTGTGTGTTTTGTTTTTAAGTCCAGGTGATATGGTTTGGCTCTGTGTTCCCACCCAAATCTCATCTTGTAGCTCCCATAATTTCCATGTGTTGTGGGAAGGACCTAATGGGAGGTAATTGAATCATGGGGGCAGGTCTTTCCCCGGGCTGTTCCTGTGACGGTGAATAAGTCTCATCAGATCTGATGGTTTTAAAAATGGGAGTTTAGCTGCACAAGCTCTCTCTTCTCTTGTCTGCCACCCTGTGAGATGTGCCTTTCACCTTCTGCCATGATTGTGAGGCCTCCCCAAGCCATGTGGAACTGTAAGCCCAGTAAAACTCTTTTGTAAGTTGCCCAGACCCGGGTATGTCTTTGTCAGTAGCATGAAAATGGACTAATACACCAGGACAGCGCCACATTTTACATTTAATCTTCACTGTAAGTTTATAAGGTGGGTGCTGTTATTATTTCTATTATTCTTCCCATAGGAGTACACGGAGGCTTCAAAGAGATAACTGATGGAATAGGGATTTGAACCCAGAACTTGAGCTTTCTGTGACCCTCTCTCCTGTCCCAATATTATCTTCTCTACCTCAGTGGCCTCTGACTCATCTTTGGAAATGTTGCTGGAGATCTTTGTAAGAAGCATCTGCTGGGCAGGCCCAACTCCAGAGGCCTCTTCATGGGTTGTGAGTTGCCACTCTCAAAGGTTTAAACATGATCACCTGGACTATGAGAAGGGCCGTTCCATAGGCCATCTACAGTTAAATTCTGGGGCCTTAATGTGTCGTCACGGCCAACAGGGCTATCAGAATGTTAGGCATTCAAAGGAAGAAAATGGGAAATAAACCAGAATACATTTGCTAAGGTCCTATTGGAACTTTCTGCCTGTTATTATTTCAAACTCAACACATCTAAAACCTTACTTATCCTCTCCCACAAACCATTCCTTAGCTTTCCCATTTTTATCAGTGGTTTCATCATTCTCTCAGTCTCCCCAGTCTTCCACCACTCTTTCCTCTTTTCTCATGAAATTGCCTATTCTTTTTCATCAGTCCTTCTAATGATTCCCTTATCTGGCCTTAAAGTTTTTTCATTCATTTTTTACTAGGTTTTTTTTTTTTTGAGATGGAGTCTCTCTCTGTTGCCCAGACTGGAGTGTAGTGGTGCCATCTCAGCTCACTGCAACCTCTGTCTCCCGAGTAGATGAGTTCAAGAGATTCTCCTGCCTCAGCCTCCTGAGTAGATGGGATTACAGGTGCAGGCCACAATGCCTGGCTAACTTTTTGTGTTTTTTAGTAGAGATGGGGTTTTGCCATGTTGGCCATGCTGGTCTTCAATTTCAAACCTCAGATGATCTGCCTGTCTCGGCCTCCTAAAGTGCTGGGATTATAGTAATGAGCCATTCTGCCCTGCCAGTTTTTTCTTTTTCTTTTTTTTTTTTAGATGGAGTCCTGCTTTGTTGGCCAGTCTGGAGTACAGTGACACAATCTCAGCTCACTGCAACCTCTGCTTCCCTGGTTCAAGTGATTCTCATTCCCCAGCCTTCGAGTAGCTGGGATTACAGGCGCCCGCCACCATGCATGGCTAATTTTTTGTATTTTTTAAAAGAGATGAGGTTTTGCCATGTTGGCCAGGCTGGTCTCAAACTCCTGACCTCAGGCAACCTGCCTGCCTCGGCCTCCCAAAGTGCTGGGATTACAGGTGTGAGCCACCGCACCGGCCAGTTTTTTCATTTCAAAGCCATCATGAAGGTTTGGTTCTCATCGTCTTTCACCTGGGCCATGGCAATCATTTCCTATGGACTGCTCAGTTTTCAGACACTATCTACTCTATACACAAACTATTCTTTCTGAAATGAAAATACAGCAAATAACTCCTCTGCTCAGAAACCTTCAATGACTCCCTATTTACTCCAGTGTCAAGTCCAAATTCTTGGGTTTAAAGCCACTAGTTCTATAGCCCTATTACTACCTTACAAAAACCATTTCATCTTGACCAAATATACTCACCTGCAAACTTTTGAATTCACACCTGCAAACTTTTACTCATGATCACACTTCTAACCTTTTGCTTCTTCTCTAACCATGGGTCCTTTGATTTTTATTATCAAGGTGTGGTGAAATTGAGTAAGTCTATTTATCGTAATCCCAAGGAGCTCATAGTCTATCAGGAAAACAGGTAAATCAAGAGGAGAGAGACTTAAGCTCACCTAGAAGAATCACAGAAGGCTTCACAGAGGAGATAACACTTTGGTTGAATCTTGGAGGAACAGGAATTTGTGAGGGAAGGAATTGAGGGAAAGGCTTCCAGGCAGAGGGGGCACATCTGTCTCTAACAATCACGTGTCCCTTCTTAACATCTCTTGTAGTTTGTCTTGTATTTCCAGCAGCTTTTAACCGGCCTATCAACCCCTTTAGGACAGGGGCCATGTCCTGTATCTACCCTCTGTTAAATGCGGGTAGCAGCATTTACTTAACAGGATTGTTAGGAGTGTTAGCGATAATTCATGTAACATACGTGTCCCACACTCTGATTTTTTGCTGTAATAAATGAAGTGTCTAGCTCAGTTTCTGGCTCATATGAAAGTAGTCAGTATTTGTTGAATGAATGAGGATACCCTGTTTCAAAACTGTTTTGTTTACAGCTGGAAATCTGTGCCTTGGAAGACCTCACTGGACTGGAAAAGATCCTGAGAAAGGCAATGTTTCAGCAGGCTGGGAAAACAGCCTGTGAGAGCCAACCAAACACAAGGCTTTTCCATCTCAAGAGGGGGAAGATCTATTCAGATTCAACTCAAATTCACTAAATGCTTATCTATCTTTTGTACAAGTCTCATGATGTTCCATTACCATCTCCACTTTGTAGATAAGAAGACATATCCAAAGGAGTTAAATATCTTGCCAGAAGCCAAAAGCTAAATGGTGGAATCCACTAGATTCCAAGTTCAAAATGCTTTTCACTAAAACACAAAAACCTTCCTTTTTCTTTTTTTTTCTTCCAACTTTTAAGTTCAGGGGTAGATGTGCAAGATGTGCAGGTTTGTTACATAGGTAGATGTGTGCCATGGTGGTTTGCTGCCCAGATCATCCCATCATCGAAGTATTAAGGCCAGCATCCATTAGCTATTCTTCCTGATACTCTCCCTCCCTCCAACCCTACAAAAAATTTCATAATGTAGAGAAACATCAAGGGTGTGGATAACTTAAATACAGACTTGTTTGCTAAATTCTCCAAATCTCAATCCGTGTGCAATTTCCAGAGCAAGAGAAAGATTGCTTTCAGGCAAATAAAAAGAATGATTGCCTTATGCTGGGGATGGGGTAGGGAATAAAAACAAGAAATATATTATTATAATAAACAGCATAAACTGGGGAAAAAAAGTTAGAAACAAATCAATAAAATAATAGGTAAAAGATTTCTGGTGGCCAGGCATGGTGGCTCATGCCTGTAATCCCAGCACTTTGGGAGGCCGAGGCAGGTAGATCACAAGGTCAGGAGTTCGAGACCAGCCTGGCCAACATAGTGAAACCCTGTCTCTACTAAAAATACAAAAATTAGCTGGGCATGGTGGTGGGTACCTGTAATCCCAGCTACTCAGGAGGCTGAGGTAAAAGGATCACTTCTACCGGGAGGTGGAAGTTGCAGTGAACCGAGATCACACCACTGCACTCCAGCCTTGGTAACAGAGCTAGACTCTGTCTCAAAAAAAAAAGAAGATGAAATATGTCCATACAAAGACTTGTACATGAATATTCACTGTAGCTTTATTTGTAATACAAAACTGGAAAACTCCAAATATCCATCAACAAGTGAAGAAATACATTGTAATATATTCAAACAATAGCATATTACTCAGCAATAAAAAGGAAGGATCGAGAGGCCAAGGTGGGAGGATCACTTGAGGCCAGGAGTTTGAGGTTGCAGTAAGCTTGATAACCACCGCTCTCCAGCCTGGGCAACAGAGCAAGACCCTGCCCCTAAATAAATAAACAAATAAACTATTAATACAAAGAACAACATGGATGAATCCCTCAAGGTAATTATGCTGAACAAAAGAAGCCAGATACACCCCACCCCAAAGAGCATTTACTGTATGATTTCTTATATAAAATTCTAGAAAATGCCAACTAAGCTAGTAACCAAAAAGCAGATTAGTGGGTTGGGTGTGGTGGCTCATGCCTGTAATTCTAGCACATTGGGAAGGTGAGGTAGGCAGATCACCTGAGGTCAGGAGTTCGAGACCAGCCTGGCCAACATGGTGAAACCCCATCTCTACTAAAAATATAAAAATTAGCCAGGAGTTGTGGCATGAGCCTGTAATCCCAGCTACTCAGGAGGCTGAGGCAGGAGAATCCCTTCAATCCAGGAGGTGGATTGAGTGAGCCAAGATTGTCCCATTGCATTCCAGCCTGGACAACAGAGAGAAACTCTGTCTCAAAAAAAAAAAAAAGTTTTAAAAAGCAGATTAGTGGTTCCTAGGGATAAAAGAGTGGGAGGAAGGGATTATAAAGGAGCATGAGGAAATTTTTAGGGATGATAATGATACGGTCACAATCTTGGATGTGGTGACATTTTCAGGGATGTTTATGTAGCTTCTCAAATTGTATACCTTGGCCGGGTGCAGTGGCTCATATCTGTAATTCTTGCACTTTGTGGGGCTGAGGTGGGAGGATTGCTTGAGGTCAGGAGTTTGAGACTAGCCTGGGTAACACAGTGAGACTTTGTCTCTAATTGAAAAAAGAAAGGAATAAATTGTACACCTTAAATATATATGGTTTATTGTATGTCAGTTATATGGCAATAAAGTTGTTTATTCAAATACATGTAGACACCAAGCACAAATTACCAACTGGGTCCTGGGCCTGCCAATGGATGCAGCATTTGCCAAAAAGGCCAGCCCCATACCTGGAACTTAAAGATGAGGAAATTCCGAGTGGAATCATCAACCATCAGTAACAGTTTGGAGACACTTTCTTCTGCCATTTCTCTCCATGTCTGACCCTAGCCAGCTAGCTAGTTTCTGGAAGGAGCCCTAGTCTGGGATGAACATGATTCTGGCAGCCTCCTGAGAGAGTCTCTCTCTGCTGGCTTTGGGAAGAGCTGAGCTCAGGGTTGAGGTATTTTCATAACACAAGAAGAAGAGCAGAGGAGAAGCAATGGAGGAATCAGAAGGAGGCAGAGAGGAGTTGGAAGAGTAGCTATTCAGAACTGAGTCATCCAGGGCCTGGAAGGGAGCAAAGAGAATACAGACTTCAGCAATTCTTGTTTAGGGATGAGAACAACAAGACCTTGACCTTTTAGTCACATAGAATTGGGGCTCTAATCCAGGTTTCCCTGTTTCCCATCTACATCTATTCCCATCACCCATTTCCATTATGCTGAGTGGACACTATTTACTGTATGCGAGATTATGGCTTTGCTTGAACTCAACACTTTAGAGTACCTAGTGTGCTAAGACTCGGGGGTCTGAAGGAGCTCACAGTCTAGCAGAGACGGGTCTACACACACAAGTGACTCCAATAATAAAAGCAAGAGGTAATAATGTGTTATAAATGAGGTGCTTCCAAACCACAGTGCTTAAAAAACAAATAAATAAAGAAAATAAATAAATGGGGTGCTACAGAGGAGGGGAATCTTTCTTTCTTTCTTTTGTTTAAAGACAGGGTTTCACCATGTTGGTCAGGCTGGTCTTGAACTCCCTACCTCAGGTGATCCGCCCGCCTTAGCCTCCAAAGTGCTTGGATTACAGGCATGAGCCACCACGCCCAGCCGGAGGGGAATCTTTCTGTCCTGAAAAGAGAGATATGGCGATGAGAGGGGAGCAAGGAAGTCCTTATCTAGGAGCCCAATCTCCCGGAACGGCAGTAGACACCCCTTAGTAGAGGTGAGAATGGGAATCCCGTCCATTTTGTTCCCAGCTTAGTAGGTGTTCAATAATGTTAGTGTCTTCGTCCCTTTACATTCTGACCCCAGTCTAACTTTCCTTCAGTCTACCAAACCCCTGTGTTCCTCCACAGCACGCCGCTTGGTGCCACTGTGCCTTCTGCATCCCAAGTTTTCTCCTGTAATGGAACGTTCTTGCCTTAATGAGAGAGCGGTGCCATGAAACGGAGCTCGGGAGGGTATACAGCACACGGTAACAGTTAAGCGCACAAGCTATCGAGGCCAGCCTCCGGCTCATCTGTAAAAGGGAGATAATGAGATTTATTTCATAAGACTGCAGAGTGGATTAAATGGACATTCTGGTAGAGCTTTTAGCACCAAGTCTGGCGCGGAACGAGGGCACAAGTAATACACGCAAGGTTTGTGCGAGCGTGGCCACCTCCTCCGCATGTCCAGTCCCGCCTGGCGCCGCTCAGGAGCCGCCCCCAGTCCGCCTCAGTGGCGCCCAGTCACCCAGCAGCGTCCGCGCCGCCACGTCGCATCTGCTCACCCCATCGACAGCCAGGCTTACTAGACCCGGCCCCGCACTAGGTACCCGGGGCACCGGGCAGCGCCCCACACCCTGCCTCCGCCCTCCGACTGGCTCCTGCAGCTGCCCGTCGTCAGAGGCCGTTGCTGATTGGTTTAGGTGGGAGGGCGGGGCGGGCCTCGAGGGGCGAAGGAAAGGCGGGGACCCGGATGTGTGTGGTGGCGGCGGCCGAAGAGCTTGTGTGCGGAGCTGAGAGGCCTATGGATGAGGAGGACGCGGCGGCCCCGGTAGGCGGGGATCGGGGCGGGGTCCCAGAGGCCTCGGATCTCCCCGGAGCCCGAAGTGGGAGGTGGGGGTCCTGGGCGGGGGCTCTGGGGCCAGGGGCGGGGCCCTGCGCTCTTGGTCAGTAGGCTTCCTCCGTCGGCGCACCCTCGGCCCAGTGCAGGGCCTGGGGAGACTGGGCATAGGCACATGGATAGGCTGGGGCCCCGCTGCTCCCGGGTCTCATCTCAGTGATCAGGCTGTGCCCAGGGAGGAGACAGGGCCCAGTAGGGCCGCCACTCGCCGGTGCCAAGACTGTGGGGTCTGGGCAACCAGCATGTACCTGGGATCGAACCCTGGCTGAGTGCCCTGGAGTAGAATCTTAGGGTTGTCTTTCGCACAGGTGCCCACTCTTCTGGGCCACGTGGTGGGTTGTAGCTACTGCATTAGAGTCTTATGTTGCGCACCGGGATCAAATTAAGCCGAGCCAAGGCTTCCTAAGCACCTGCGGTGTTCAAGGCACTGTGAGGCCTTGAGAAAACCCCTCTCCCAGGGTTTGGGGAATGGGAAGATAAGAGTGTTTCACCTGTTTCTCACTTTTGGCTCCCAGGAAAAATAATCCGTTCATTTATGTGTTGGCACTGATGGTTATTTAAATACCTGCATCCTCCCACTTCCATCTATCTGCGCTGCTACCTAATCTCAGTGGATGTCATTTCTCATCCGAACTGCTGCAACAACCTCTGAATTGTTTGCCCACATCTGTTCTTGATCCTCTTGTGATCAGTTCTCCAGACAGCAGCTGGAATGATCTTTAGGAACTGATTAAGCTCATGGCATTTTTTTTTGAGATAGGGTCTTGATCTGTCAGCCAGGCTGGCGTGCAATGGCGCAATCAGAGCTCACTGCAGCCTTAACCTGCCAGACTCAAGCCATCCTCAGCCTCCTTAGTAGCTGGGACTACAGATGTACACCACCACTCCTGGCTCATTGTTTTGATTTTTAGTAGGGATAAGGTCTCACCATGTTGCCCAGGCTGGTCTCGAAGTCCTGACCTCAAGTGATCCTCCTGCCTCAGCCTCCCAATTTGCTGGGATTGCAGGTATAAGCCATCATATCTGGCCAGTCATGGCATTTCCTTGCTTGCAACCCTCCAGAGGTTTCCATCTTGGAATAAAATCCAAACTCCTTACCACTGTCAATATAGCCTTGATCTGACTCCTGCCTTATTCTCATCTTGTACATTCTCCTTCACATTCCCTATACACCAGCTTTCCAGGCATTTTTTTTTCTGTTTCTCTACCATGCCAGCTCTCTTCCACCCAAGGACCTGCAGTTGTCCTTAGTGCCTGGAATATGCCTGTCTTGTCATATGCCTAGTTCCTTTACAACTGAAATGTCACTTTCTCAGAGACTGCCTCTGTCCACTCTGTCCACTGCCTCCAGATTTTTTTTTTTTCTTTTTTTTGAGACGGAGTCTTGCTCTGTCTCCCAGGCTGGAGTACAGTGATGAGATCTCGGTTCACTGCAATCTGCACCTCCTGGGTTCAAGTGATTCTCCTGCCTCAGCCTCCGAAGTATCTGGGACTAAAGGCATGTGCCACCATGCCCAGCTAAGATTTTTATTTTTTACTGATAGAGATGGGGTTTCACCATGTTGGCCAGGATGGTCTCAATCTCTTAACCTCGTGATCCACCCACCTCAGCCTCCCAAAGTACTGGGATTATAGGCATGAGCCACTGTACCCAGCCCTCCAGATTCTTTGTCATATCACCCTGTTCTTTTCTCCGATGCCTGAAGTTATGTCTGTTTATTGCCTGTCATGTCTACCTCCCAGCCTGTGCAAATGGGAATCCTGTCTATTTTGTTCACAGCTCTATACCTAGCACTGAAAAGAGTGTGCATAGTAGGAGCTCAGTAAATGTTTGTTGAATGGAAGGATGAAGATGGGGATTGTTAAGGTTAATCTGGGCAGCTGGCCTCCAGGACAGTGCCTTCTCTACATTCTGGGTCACATAGGCTGAGACGTTTTACTTAGGGCCCTGCTTCCTCCTCAATCCCCTTCTCCCCTTGGCAGATTTGTTCTCATGAACAAGATGGATGACCTCAACCTGCACTACCGGTTTCTGAATTGGCGCCGTAGGATTCGGGAGATTCGAGAGGTCCGGGCTTTCCGATATCAGGAGAGGTTCAAACATATCCTTGTAGATGGAGATACTTTAAGGTGAGTTCAGGGGAATGCTTCCACATTTTCTTTTCTGTTCCAGATCTTAGAGATGAAAGGGATTTTGTTCAGAAGAAGGGGACTGTGTACACTGCACTGGGAAGGGGGGATGCTCTTGACTCCACAGGCCTTTCTTTTTTCTTTTCAAGACAGAGTCTTGCTCTGTCACCCAGGCTGGAGTTCAGTGGCATGATCTCAGCTCACTGCAACCTCCGCCTCCTGGGTTCAAGCGATTCTCCTGCGTCAGCCTCCCAAGTAGCTGGGATTACAGGTATGCACCACCACATACAGCTAATTTTTTAGATTTTTGGTAGAGACAGGGTTTCACCATGTTGGCCAGGCAGATCTCGAACTCCTGACCTCAAGTGATCTGCCCACCCAGAGGCCTTTCTGAGTGGAGCAGTGCATGTTGCCCATCCCTGCACTCACCTCTGCCTCTGTCACTGGATGGCTCTGTCCTCATCCAGCAAGGGTCTGTCCTAGCTGGGTCAGACACAGGAGGCTGCTGGGGTCTCAGGAGCTTCCCAGGTGCTTTGTTGAGAAGACTCTAGTGGGGTACCTGAGTCTCCTGCCTCTATCTCAGGCATTGGGTCCAGTGAAGAGTGGCTGTTTCAAAGGCAGTGGATTTTCTGTTTGGGAAGGGCTGTTCAGTCATGTACCCTGTCTACCACCTCCTGTGTCTTTCCAGTCCCTTGGTTTGTGTGTGTGTTTCCTCCCCCTTTTCTGGCTTGAACCCCTTCCCTGACTCCTTCTGAGCCCATGCTTTCACAAAGTTCCACTGAAGGAGGAAGGAAGTAACTGTTTAGCTGGAGGCAAGAAAGCTGAGGAGTGGGAACTGAATCACTGTCTTCCAATCTATGAAGGGCTTTGGTACAGAGGATAGAGACCAGCATTCTCCAGCTCCACTGAGGACAGAGCCAGAGGAAAAGGGCCGAAGCTGCAGCATGAGAGATTGTGGTTAGACAGGGTTGTGAGACCTTTCTCATAGGCAAGTAAGGGAGACTCTACATTCTTTTCCTCTTGGAAATGAAGAAACCAGGTTTGCACTGGTCTGGTATGGGTTGGCTTCCAGCTGGAGGCTGCAACAGGAGTAGGGTGAGGTGACCTTACCTTGCAGGGTAAGGGTGGGAGATGCTGGGTCTCTCCCCCTACTCTTAGGCTAGGCTGCTAACAGAACTCCCCCCTCATTCCTCCTTCAGTTACCATGGAAACTCTGGTGAAGTTGGCTGCTACGTGGCTTCTCGACCCCTGACCAAGGACAGCAATTATTTTGAGGTGATGAAGGCAGTGGGTGGGCAGAGCAGGGAGTGAGCTTGGGGGTGAGGTAATTAAGCCCCAAAGAGCTCCTTTACTAGGTGCATGACCTGGGCCTTTTAATTTTCCATTAGGCTGTCCTGTTGCTGGGAAAAAGGTGCAGGATAGCATGACCCCTCATCTGAGAGATAGGTGCCCTGGAGACCTGTCACCCTGTCCCTTCTGCTCTCCTGCCCCTTACCTAGGTAGACTTTGACCCATATCCCAGACCTTGACTTACATCCCCTAACCCAAAGCCACCATATACTACGATCTCCTATCTTTCTCCAAAGCTTGGAAGTAATTTTCTAAGTGAAATAGGCATGCACTCTCCCCAGTTCCCCTGCTGAGTATCCTTTTTTTTCTGATTCCCTGTCCTTTGTCTCTTTGAGCCTCAGCCCCCTTTAATCTCTTAAGTCCCCTTCCCCCATCCCCAGCAATTCATCCCATTTCCTAGCCCTGCTGACTGTGCCCTGCTCTCTTTTCTCCAGGTGTCTATTGTGGACAGTGGAGTTCGGGGCACCATTGCTGTGGGGCTGGTCCCTCAGTACTACAGCTTGGATCACCAGCCTGGCTGGTTGCCTGACTCTGTAGCCTACCATGCT